TCCAGCCCACTGGTTTTTTGAGAAACTTTATTATGTGAATGCTCAGGGCCACATTTGTTTTGTTCGTTCATTGTCTGTCTGATTTAAATAAAAACTCACTTATATTCAAATGCAGCACCTTGCTTGCCTATAACTTTTTTACTTTTCTGCAAACTTGGTAATGTCTTACTGTATCTTGCTGCATTTCTTGTTTAATAACTGCACTGCCTCAATTTGGTAACGCCTGTAAATTGAGATGTAACCTCTCATGGGTTTTCATTCAAAAATCCCAATTAAATACAAAATTGAAATAAGCAGCAAAGGGAACATATACACTTCATAAATTCTGACAGTTGTTCAGCTGAGATCATTTTTTGACACTGTTTTGAGTACGCTCCTTGTAAATCTTTTGAAACTTCTAATTTAAAAAGGTTCACTTTATTAGTTTTATTTAATCCAAATTATCCTAACTTTTGAATAAAGCAATTAGGTTAGGTTTCCCAGTATGTCCTAGCAACTTTGAAACTTGAATGACTGTTGCCAAAGTCAACCTGGCAAGCTCATGTGTTAGTGAATGAGCACCTGTTGGAAGTAGGTTATGATTAGATAACGTTTTTAAACAGTTAAATGTTAACCATAATCTCAATGCAGTAGGTAACCTGAAATATTTTAGTCTTGCCATTTAACATACAGGATAGATCAATGGTTGTATTTTAGAAATAAAGCAGACTGTAGGCAACATAACACATTGTACAATGTGCAAATTTGAATATTGTGCAAACTGGTTTTTTAAAGCAGTTTTCAGCTTTTTTAATGAGCATTCCTCAGTATTCTGCCTAGTGTTTGTGGGATGGGGGGGTGGAATCCAACAACTGAAGAAAAGCTGCATGACCTGTCAAATCTAGAAAATTAAGTGTATTGGAAGTGGTACTATATGGACAAGTAGGTCAGTGATTTACTTTGCTCACTACTTGCTTGCACAGCAGTAGTGCTTTTTAATGGTTTTATTAAATTTGGCTTTAGCTGCATCTGTCTATCTTAGTTTTGTTTTAAGATTTGTTATGTAGGTCATGTCTCTGCTTTAGCTGTTTTTGCTGAACACCATGGTTTCAGTTTATTTTTTTTTTGTTTTTGGAGGATATTTTGAGGGATGGAAATTTTCAGTGTGGATACGACCCTTTAGTTTTATACACTTTGCTTTGCCAAGCTGTTCTCAAATGAATCTTTGCTAATTTAGCCTTTAGCTAAGCACTTGGGAATCAAACAAAGCAACAAGGTCGTACCAAAAATGAGTACAAAATATTGTGGCCATTATAAATCAGCTGATTTGGCAGCATCTGTGGAGAGAGCTACGTTTGACTCAAAACAGCAAACGTTTGTGTTTTGTAGCTGAAGGAAAGTAGCAAGTGTTTGTATGTTTTTTAAAACAGTTGTCAGAGGATACATTTTGCAATTAGGTTCAACCCAATTTGATTAAAAGCTGATCTAGTACCCAGAACATTAACCTGAGATTCTAGATTACCGGTCCAATGAGACTGCCATGATGCTACTCCAGCCCTTTTTTTGTCTGGTGCCATAGATTTGAAGTGCCATGCAGATCTGATGTTTTGTAAATTTGGGCAGGGCCAGGTTTTTTGGGATACCTTCAAGTGGAAGGAATGGTAGGCCAATATCACTTTCAAGTCTTGGTGCACTCCAAGAACAGATCATGAAGTGAGTTTAGTAACTGTCTTTAAAATCAACTTGCAAGCTATTAATGAAAAGGACTTCTTGCAAAGGCAAAAGTACTAATGACCAACTAGAGCAAGTGTTTAAACTATTATGGGCTGGATTTTCAAGTAGTTGGTGTGGAAATGGTAGCTGGGGAAACCGTTCTGTGTCCCATTCCATTTCTGGTGCCCCAAGTTCAACTCGCATGAATTAATGTGTGGGTGCTCTGGGTCACAAGCCTGCACCCTGCACTTGGTTTTGTCCCTGGTAGGGCTAGCATGTCCTGGATCAGCTTTGAGAACTCATCATGCATAGCCTTTCCTGAGCTAGCAAGGTGTAGAGCTGGATGAGCACAGCAGGCCAAGCAGCATCAGAGGAGCAGGAAGGCTGACGTTTCAGGCCTAGACCATTCTTCAGAGCTGTTGTGGTCCATAAACTAAACCTTTTTAAAGTAAGCATGCAAAGAATGCCTGGCTTAGCCCTGTAGTCATAAAATATGACAATTCCACAATTTTCTCAATATTTGCCTACTCTACAGAATAAATAGAACAACAGTAGGATGTATAAAGATGTATTATGAATGACTTTCTACTATGTTTAAAAACACCTTGTGACATTACAATAAAAATGTCAATTGTGCAGAATTAGTCTCAATAGATGTTTCAAGCACACTAAGTCTTTATCTTGTGTAACTAAGCATGACAAATAACAACAGATTGCACAAAGAACTGTCAACTAATTGTTGTTCCCCATGGAGAGCAATAGATTCAAGAGTCCTAATGCCTTGGTTCTTATTTTTCAAATTCTTGTTTCTGCAATTGATAATTTAAAGTAATCTTTTTTACTGCAACATTATTTTAAGGGAAACTTTTGTGAAGATTGAAAGTTGACTTTTTCCCTCTTTCTTTCTTCATACAGAGAGGTCTTTGTTTTGTTATCAATGTTACAAAACTGCTGAAGTACCACACCTTATTTATAAATATGATCCTTCTCAGCACCCAGCAGCCTAATTGCATTTTCAGAGGCAAAGGCAGCAAATGATAAGCTTCAACTTAAACAAGAGCCAAACCTCCTGGATGTTGGAGGAACTTGACAGATCTGGTAACCATTATGGAGAGGGAAAAAGTTCACATTTCAAACTTTGGAATCGATTTGAGTGGAGGCATGTGAAAATTGGATTTTTTTTTTTTTGCTTTTGGAAAAAGTAGGGAGAAACAGGCAGAACAGATGGAAATGTAAGAGTTAGGGATTGAAGGTTTAGCTTTTTTAACAAGAGAGGCAAAGCAACTGATTGTGGAGAAACTGAGGCAAGGATCCAGAGCAAGTGGCAGGAATATAATAAAATAGAACCAAACTGCTGATGCTGGAAATCTGAAACAAGGGGAAACTTGGGTCTGGTGGCATCTGTGGAAAGACAGTTAAGAGTCAGTGACTGTCAGAATTAATAGCAGCTGGGAAATGGTATTTATATTGATGATTGGAAAATGGGAGTGAGATGAATAAAGATGCCTACTGAGGGTAGGGGGTGTTGAAAGGGATGAGGGGGAAAGTACTGGGAGTAGGTAGGGTCAGATCTGCTGAAAGCTAAAATCATCAAAGTGTGACTTTGTAGCTATTAATGTGGAAGACAATTCATGACTAGTGTTCATTAACCTTAGATGACTAAAATAAAACCAAGAACTGTGGCTGCTGGAAATCTGAAACCATAAACAAGCTGCTGGAGAAACTCAGCAGATCTGCTAGCACCAGTGGAGAGAGTTTGTTTTGGGTCCACTGACCCTTGACCACTAAACTATGACTAGTTTAACCCTCCCACTGTACACTCTGGTTTACAGCAGCTTCTTTTATCTGGATGCTAACAGCAAACCTCTCTCTCCTTGAGCTATTAAGAAGCCACTGTAACCTTGCAAATAAATACAGGTAAGTATCTGTTATTCTTATACCTGTAAACTGAAAAGACCTAAAAATCCAAACTTTTTTTCTTTGCTGTAAGTGGACCCAAACAGACCTAAAAGCAAGTTTTCTTTTCACAAAAGCCAAACCTAATATAATGGGGTCGAAAACTGAAATTTCCTCTTTGTGACAACAAGTTTTCCTGAGATTTTTAGATAAAGGATGCCTGACCAGCCAATAAATATCCAGCTGGAAAGGACAGCTGGTCAGTCAGCATAGGAGAAGGAAATTCAACACTCTGGGCTGAAACCTTTCACCCCCTCAAAATTGTCTGACTAGCTGTGCTTTTCTGGCTCCGCATTTATTGACTCAAGCTTCCAGCATCTGCAGTCCTTATTGTCTGATGCTTGACCTGCACTATGCTCAGCCATTTTGAGCAACACGCAGATGCATAATTCCTGGAATATGATACTCTGCCTCATATCTATCTGTTTTGTAAATGACAATATCTGAATTAAGTAACATACATTTTGGTACTGACTTGTTTTGAAATACATTCCTGGGATGTGGGCATTGGCTGTGTCAGTATTTTATTACCTATTGCTAGTTGCCCTTGAAGGTGGTGAGCAGTCTGGTATTTTCACATGGTCATTTGGAGCATGTTAGTTTTTTTGGCACTAACACTATATGCATCAGCTCAAAAGTGAGATTTGTTACATGATCTAAATGGGATTGTATTTTCTTCAGTGCTTAAAGGTGTTAGATCTTTCAATTCCCACTTCTGGAAAATTGAGTTTTGTACGTGATTTTTGGCACGGTCTAAAATTGTGTATTTTAGTGCTGAAATCTGAGACTTGCAGAAAAGTACATTAAAGTAAGTGACCCAAGTCAATGACCATGTTAGAGATAGTAGGAACTGCAGATGCTGGAGAATCCGAGACGACAAGGTGCAGAGCTGGATGAACACAGCAGGCCGAGCAGGAAGGCTGACGTTTCGGGCCTAGACCCTTCCCAAAACATCAGCCTTTCTGCTCCTATGATGCTGCTTGGCCTGCTGTGTTCATCCAGCTCTGCACCTTGTTGTCAATGACAATGTTGCTGTCTTGAAGTGACTGTATTGAGTAATGACATGCTCGAGCTGAATGGACTTCAAATGGTGTCCACCATGGAACGAATCACCATTGCCAAGCTTGCTTGAACAAAGACCACAATCTGAAAATTTCACAGCTATTTTAGCTCATTAAGGATGTTAAATAGCTTGTTCTTTATCACGTTTTCCCACCCCAACCCCATTCAGCAACCAAATCGTACAAAAGATGTTCAGTTCAACACTAATTGCTTTTGTGATTTGCTGTTTAAAATTGGACAGCCGATTTTGTATCAACCTTTCTCTGATTCATCCTTGTTTTTCTTCATAGGTTGTGAAGACTATTGGGCTTCGTGAAGTCTGGTTCTTTGGACTTCAGTACCAAGATACAAAGGGCTTTCCCACTTGGCTGAAACTCAACAAAAAGGTCTCTACTTCTAAAAATACGCTTAGCAAGTATCTCAGGGTTGATTTTTGCATGCTAATGACAGGGAATAGTTAGTAATTTATTGCTGTGAAGGATAATATTTTAACACTTCTGTTTTCAGCTTGCATTTTACTTGGCTGAACTTTGTATTTAGAGTACCACTTTAAAATTAAATCTTGTGGCACTTCATGTAAAAGAACACGAGTGCTGGCCCAAAGGAGAAGATAGTGGGGAGGTAGCCTTCAGTTAGCTTTTTGCATTTTGGGTTTGTGATTATTCCAAATGTGAAGTGGCTGAGGTGGTGGGGGTGCTGGGGAAAAACAGGCAATCAAAAAAGTTACTTGCAAGTGATAGGCACGAGTTTAAAAATTCAAAGGGAGTAGTGGTTTGTACTATGAACCAGACTATTTGTTGCCAGCAAATAGGCTTTGATTAAAACATTGCCATGTAGTATGCCTGGGGCAATTACATCAAAGTGCTTGCATATCTTCAAAAAAAAATCAAATCTGAGTTGCCATGGATAATGTATGATGGAGCAGTGTTACTCCTTCACCTTGCATTGATTTTATTTTTAAAATGATTCCACTGACTAATCCAGTGCGTACCAGGAGGCACACAATGCAGAGTTAAATTTTGCTTTGGAATCAGTTGTTCCCTCCAGTATCTTCCACGTAATGTCTGACCAATCAACAATAACTTCTTTCCTTTTGAACTCCTCTTGTCTTCTCTATCCTGATAAACACCCAACTTTTGAAAGCATGTCCTAGTCGTCTTTAAACAAAGTCCAAGCTCTGTACTGCCAATTGACTAAAGTGAGGAGTTTATTGGCCAAATGGCCCAGATCTTGCAAGCCCTGATTTAACAAGGTGTTCGCCACTATTGAGAGCTACAATGGAAACGGCTTCTGGGAAGCTGACATACAATTCAATCCAGCAGTTAACCAGAATGGGTTCTGACACCTGGGAGAATGTGCATTGATCCTGCCAAAATTGATGTTTTAAAACATTTTTTGTTGGGTTCTTTTTGATATTCGCATTGATATTACTTGGGGCTCCTTCTAGTTGGTGTGAAGTCTGAGTTTCCCAACCCTCCAAATCAAATCTTAAAGGATCTGCACTCCATAACCCAGCTCTGCAGTGCCATTTGTGTTGAAGTGTGAAGGGGGTATACCAACATGTGGTGCTGAGCAATCAGCTACATTTTGAAAGTAGAATTTAAGGAATTAAAATAACTGTAAACTATTAGTTATCATTGAGCTGAAGGCATGTCTTGATTTTTGGTTGGTGTTAAGCTTGGGGTGAGAGGTCAGACCTGTGACATAAAAGCAGTGATCACTAGAGTGGCCTTTGCACTTGGCAGCAGGTCCATGCTGCAGCTGGGGCAGCATGTTCCTGCTGCAGCCTACACTAAAATAAAAAATATTTTGCATGTAGTTGGTAGTGCACACTTCAACTTCTCTGACCACAGGATACAGACCCATATGATCTGAAATGTGCATGCATGGTCACTTCCTGAAAGGAGATGGCCTTCTAGCAGAGCATATTATGGAGAATGGGGGGTACCCCCCTCCCCAAAAAAAGGACTAGTTATTTTCTCAACCTGTTAAGAGATGTTACAACAGATCTTGGGACTTGAAACTAGGACTCACCTTTCCAGAGGCAGGGATTCTGCCACTGCACCAGAGCTCCTTGTTCCTGGAAGTCAAGCCTGTGATTGCATTGTTCAGCTATTGTTGGATAGTGCTCTCGTGCTGCTAGAAATTATACAAATCCAGATTTGAAATCCACCCAATCACTTAATGCTGTTTTTTTTAAAACCTGATGATTGCCTTGTGACTTTTTAATTTCTTTCCTTTCTTTGGTAGCTAAATGAATAAATTTTTGCTCTGACCTGGGTTGCTTGAGAGATCTGATCTGCCAGCTAGGCTGCATGGCCTTGTGTACCTAATTGTGTGACAAGTGCTTAACGCTTTTTTTGATGGAGGGCTTCTCCTTGTATAAGCTGTTGACTTAGTTGACTGGTTTGTGATGCAGAGTAATGCTAATAGCATGGGTTCAATTCCTGCACTAGCTGAAGTTGCATGAAGGACACTCCTTCTCAACTTCCCCCTCAACTGAGGTGTGGTGACCCTTGGGTTGAACTACCACTAGCCAACTTCCCTGCTCCAGTCTCTAATGGAAAAGCAGTGCAGTGTCCCCTAGAACAATGGTGACATTACCATACCTTTTTTCAGCTTTGAAATGGGATCATGTAGATAATTTTGTAACTTGTTTCCATGATTCACTTTTGCCTGTTTTAAAGGGGTCTGTGGGGTGAACGTGACAGCAGAATCTCTAGTCTCAATACCTTTTCTTTTAAAAGGGTGAGAAGATCTAATTGGGATAAAGTGAGGGAATCCTCACTGTCAACTATGTTAACCCTTCTCTCAACTGTTGGGCAATTTCTGGAGCGTGTCTTCTGTTTGTTTTTCTCATGGACATTTTTTTTCTATCTCTTGTATACACAAAGGAAGTTCAGCCTTGGAGACAGGTAAGGACTGCAGATGCTGGAAGCTAGAGTTGATAAATGTGGAGCTGGAAAGGCACAGCCAGTCACTGGCATCAGAGGAGCAGGGAAGTCCATGCTTCAGGCCAAAACCCTTCATGTCCTGACAAAGGGTTCTGGCCTGGTATTGACTTTCCTGCTTTGATGCTGTCTGACCAGCTGTGCTTTTCGAACTCCACATTTATTGATGTAAGTTTTGCTCTTGCCAAGATCTAATGAGTTAAATACCATAATATCCTTTTTGTATAGCTGAAAATGGCAAATCCTCTGCCCTAACCTGCATCACAGTGCCTGGCAGCATCATGCTTTGGATGCAGCTTGAGTGGTTGATGTCTGAGGACCAGCAAGTAAAAGGAAAAACATTTCATTTGAACAGTCTATCTTGCCTCTGCCACTTTAAAATAGTGAAGTATTTACTTTACAAACTCAATGCACCCTTGCTATGTAGTGTGTTCAGAACTGTCATGGTATAAGCAAAATAGTTCAGTGCTTTTGTGACATTCAGTCTAAGTACTCCATCTGTGTATTAGAGAGAAATGGGAACAAGAACCACCAACAAATTCTCTTCCAAGACACACCTAATCCCAATTTAGAAATATACCAATGTTTCTTTGTGATTGTTGGATCAAACTCCCTTCCTAAGAATGTAGGTGTGACTGCAGTGGTTCAAAGAAGACTTGTCACCATCCTCTGGAGGGCAGTTAGAGATGAGAGAATGCTGGCCTGCCAGAGAAATCCCTCATTTTGAAAGGATACATAAATGTGTTGCTTTCTCAGATGGACCATTCTTTTTGGGTGAGACATCAAAGTCCCTCTTGTGAATGCTAAGGCTTTGTCTGTTCAGGTGGATGTTCAATATGTGGTCTCTTTAAAAGAAAAGAGGAAACTACTCCCTGTTCGCTTGGTCATTATTCATTTCATCTTGTTGCTATTTTTGGTTTATTACTCACGTGGAATAGCTGCTATATTTGTTGAATTATGTCATGCATTCAATCATTTTTTGTGAACTTTTTGAAACATTAATGTGGTAATGTGCTTTAACTTTTTCCAGTTTTTTTAATGCTTCAGCTGCATGAAGCACAAACTGTTGCTAGACCTCTACCAGTCTTTTCTTAAACACAGCTGGGCAATCTGGAAGAATATCCCATTTGAAATGTACCCTTTTTAAAATTTTCCTTCCTTTCGTCATCTCGGTCCCATAAAAGGAAAAAAGGTTTTGTTTGAAGGTTATAGCTCAATGTACAATATAAAAGCTTCTATAGGTTGTACACTCTTAATTCTTTTTGCTGGTTTATGGCTTGGCATTAAAGTCACAATATTATAGAACATGTTCAGGAGCTCTTTTACCAACAGCAGCAACATACTGGAGTTGAGCCCTTTTGTGTAAAGAATCAAGTTGAGAAGCTGTTTTTATGACATAATTGTGTGCGCACACAAAGTAAGTAAAGACCTGAGTGTTCAAACGATGGTAGGGCCCTGGGGAGCGTTGTCAAACAAAGACCTAGGAGTTCAGGTACACAGTTCTTTGAAAGCTGTGTCACAAGTAGACAGGGTGGCTAAGGTGGTGTTAGGCATGCTTGCCTTCATTGCTCAGACCATTGACTATAGGAAGTGGGATGTCATTGTTGCAGTTGTACAGGACATTGAGGCAACTTTTGGAGTACTGCACACAGTTGTGGTTGAATTATTGAATTGGAGGGTGCAGAAAGGATTTACAAGGATGTTTCCAAGAATGGAGGGTTTGAGGCTGGTAAGCTGGGACCTTTTTTTTTCCCCTGGAGCATAGGAGGTTGAGGGGTAATCTCGATTTTAAAATGTTTATAATATCATGAGGGGCATAGTTTAACACCACACCCCTGTGCTGCCCAGGGTCGGGTAGTTCAAAACTAGGGGCATATTTAAGGTGAGAGGGAAGAGATTTAAAAGCCACTTGAGGGCAACCTTTCTCTTGGTGCATATGTGGAATGAACTGCCAGAGGAAATGATAGCTGGTGCAGTTAGAGCACTTGCAGGACATTTGGATAGGTATGTGAATAGGAAAGATTTGGAGGTGTGCCAAATGTAAGCAAATGGTTTAGTTTGGGGAAACTTGGTTGGCTTGGACGAGTTCGACCAAAGGGTTAGTTTTCATGCAGAGATGAGCCCAATACGGATAATGTATCTGTGCAACTAAGTTGTCATTTTTATTTTCTGCTGTTTTTTAGGTGACTCAGCAGGATGTTCGTAAGGATAGCCCATTACTCTTCAAGTTTAGGGCAAAATTCTTTCCAGAGGATGTATCTGAGGAGCTGATTCAGGAGATCACCCAACGCCTCTTCTTCCTGCAAGTGAAAGAGGGCATTCTGAACGATGACATCTACTGTCCCCCAGAGACTGCTGTATTGCTGGCTTCTTACGCTGTGCAGGTCAAATGCGGTGATTTCAATAAAGATGCCCACAAAACAGGCTATTTGTCAAATGACCGTCTGCTTCCACAACGGTAAATGTCTGTTTTCATAGCTGTATCTTAAAATCTGTTCACTCCTCCAGTCCAAGCAATTTAGCATTTATATCTGAATATGTAATTAGGTGGTGTTAAATAGACAAACCAAAATCTCTAATTTAGAGATAGTAGGAACTGCAGATGCTGGAGAATCTGAGATAACAAGGTGTGGAGCTGGATGAACACAGCAGGCCAAGCAGCATCAGAGGAGCAGGAAGGCTGATGTTTTGGGCCTTGACCCTTCTTCAGAAATTACAACATACTTTGGCTTTGTAGAAATGACTTCTCTAATGTCCTTCAAATGGTGACTGAAGCTCTTTTGGAGATTCTTTCTTGATCATTGGATGTCTGTTGACTGGGCCAACTTTTATTTCTTTTGGCCCATCCCGAAGTGTCCTGGAAAAGGTGGTGGTGAGCTGCCTTTGGAACTGCAATATGGGAGGTGTAAGTACACTTGCAGTGCTGTCAGGCAGGGGTTTCCAGGATTTTCCTTTGGTGCCAAAGGAACCATAATTGTTGTTCCAAGCCAAGATAATGTTTGGCTGAGGGGACAATTGCAGGTGGTTGCTTTCCTGTTCATCTGCTATCCTTGTGTTTTTGAGGTTGATAGACGCTGCAGATTGTGAAGCTCCTTGTTAGGGAAGTTTGGAGTTCTTGCAGCGCATCCGCTAGATAGCGGCAGAAGGCTGTACTATGGTCATGGTATCAGTGACACACCAATCAACTGTCAAGTGGGCTGCCTTCCCCTGGTTGGTGTCAAGCTGTTTTGAAGTAGTGCACATTCCAACAAATGGATAGTATTCCATGCCCTCCTGGCTGCTACTATCCTTAGGTGGTTAAGTGTTGGGAAGTGAGTTACTTCCCACAGAATTCCTAGCCTCTGATCTACTGTTATAGCCATGGTTTAAGGTTGGTCCAGTCCCACTTCTGGTTAGTGGTAATGCCTAGAAGTTGTTATTGGGATGTAGGATTTGTACCATACATCGATTTCCAACTTATCAGCTTAAACCTTGGGTGTTGTCTAGGTGTTACTGCATTTGAACGTGGACTGCTTCAGTATCTGAAGAGTTACGAATGGTCCTGAACGTTGGGCATTTGTTCACAAAGCCTCACTTCTGACCTTGATGAAAATGGTTGGTTGGGCCTGAGGAGCCCCTGTGGTGATGCAGTTGGTGGGGTGGGTAGTATTAAGATGTGTTGCACTGTGTCCCTTAAGGACATTAATGCATCACATTGAATTTGCAACTTGTATTGGATTTCAACTCACTGCCAGTGATGTGATGTCATTGATCCCAGAGCATTAGCCTGGGCCTCTGGATTATTAATCCAGTGACAGAACCACCATTGCTTCCCATCAACTCCTCCAGTGTCCTTTTTTAAGGACTCCTTGATGCCATACTGTCAAATGTTGCTGTGACATCAAGGGTAGTCACTCTAGCCTCCTGTTTGAAATTCACCTGTTTTGTCCATGTTTGAAGTGAGGCTGTCATGAGGTCTGGAGCTGAGTAGGCCTGGCAAAACCCAAACAGTCACCTGAGTAGGTATTCCTTTATCAAGTGAAGCTTACTAGCACTGGAGATGACTACTTCCATTATTTTGATAGATTAAGGTGGTAATTGACAAGGTTGGATTTGTTCCTTTTGTAGATATGGCATAGTTGGACAATGGCATCTACTTGACCGTAGGAAACAACACTATCTGTACAGCTGCAGCTTGGCTAGGGCACGGCTAGTTCTAGAGCACAATGCTGAATCTTCACAGGAACTGTTATGGCAACTGATTATTTTCATAGGTGCATCTGCAGGAAGTCGATTGAAGATTAAGTCAGTTTGTTTTTCCCCTTCACTTGCTGTGGGGTGGTGAGATGTGAACTTCAGAAGGTTTGACCTGAGTCTGGAATCAAATGCTGAGGACTTTTTTATGGTAGCTCTTTTTTAAACTGGGTACTGCTGCTGTCACCTTTTTGGGTCTGTCCTGCCAGTGGGACAGGACAAAACCAAGAATGGTGATAGTATGGAACATGCCCTTTTTTGTAAGCTGAGTATGATCGGAGCTCCCAGTGTTTGGCGCACACCCCTAGGTGTTGGTAAGCTTGCAGAGTTAGCAGTCAGCTTTTGTACCCACCACATTAAATGAATTAAATGAACTAGGCTGGTGCCAACAGAAGTCTAATATCTCTGGTTGGAGTAAGAGGGGAAAGAGGTAGGCAGAAAAAATGAAAAACATTTGAAATATTAACGCATAATGTTAAATGTGTTTTGATCACTTTTTTAAAAAATGGACAGCTTCATTTTTTAAAAAAATTTTGCTGTTTTGAGGGTGCCTTCATGCACTGTCATATTGAGCACTTACCTCATTGTTTTGCAATTGTTTTCTTTGCCATGTCAAAGGAGTATTCTCAGTTTTTAAAATCTTTGTGTATTTTAACTGAGCAAATAGTTTTGCTTGTATTGGTTGATAGCTGGTTTGTTTGGTCATCTTGTGGCCTTTGGTCATGTTCTGTTCTGTAATTGCACTGCGTTGGTAAAGAAAATAAAACTGAGCTACAGATTTTCCAACACACCAAAGAATGGTCTCCGGTGCCCAGATGGTCAGAGATAATACAATTGTGTTGCCTTTATTGTTATTAATTTTTGTTAAATTCCTCCCATGGGTATATTTTAATGCAGTTAAGTTCCTGTTGATGTTTAATGAGTTAAACAGGCACTCCGCTCTTGTGATCAGATATGCAGGTGATTTTTTTTTAATGAGTTGCTTTTCTGTTGTCCACTTGTAGGTAGTGCTACGAACAAGAACAATTTCCCTATGTCTTCCAAAACCTTAAATCTGATATGGCACAAGTGAAAGCTTTCTTTTTCTCTTGACATAGAGACCAGTTCTCATGATCATACTATCCATTTGGAATTTGAGAAATTTTAGCTGCATTTAAAATGCAGTGTTTATTTTTTTGTTTGCAAAAGTTGAGGAACATGCATGCTTAGGAATAAAACTCTTTCCATTTAGGTTAGCTCCTGCTGATTTTGGAGTATTCCTGGAACCCCCTCAAATAGACAGAGGCAGACTGAGGCTAATATGCATTTCTGGAGTAATCCTGAGCATTGTCGGCCGCCTTAATGTTTCCCATTATAATACTGCTGTGACCCTTGAATGTTTGCCAATTGGTGTTGAATTAAGGCCATGTCTTTGTTTCCACTCGACAATAGGTTGAGATTGCTGATTCATTCACTTAGCAGCCCTGCAACCAGCTAGGGAGACTTTCAATTTGAACACAATGAGCACATGTTCCAATGTGGCTCTCAGAGGCACCTTCATTATGGCTCAGAAGGTGGCCATTCAAGCCACTGTGCCAGGCTCTTCAAACAAGCATCATTATCTAGTCCCAGTTTCCTGCTTTTCCCCATATCCTTGCATGGCATTTCTAGCCAAATGATGGTGGAATGCCTCATTTAAACCTGCAGTGCATTCCATAACCTAACTACTTGCTGTGGGAAAGATTTTTTACCCAATCACCACTTTCTTCTCTTTTGCATACCACTTTTTAAATCTGTCCTCTCATTCTTATATTTTTTTTGTATGAGTAGGCACAGTTTTTCTCTCCTACCCTAAAGCAGCTCACTCAAAATTCTGAAAATCTCTAGCAAATCTCCTTGCATCTTTCTATCCCAGTGCACTGGGTTTAGACTTGAGGTTTCTGACTGGGAAGATTTTGTGCTGATCCAGCACACTGACCAAACTTGTTAATGATTTCTGTGATTTGTGGCTATTGATTTTTAATCAATGGAAACCTGCTAAATTTCTAGGCTGTATTGAACGTGTCCTCGTGTCCCTCTTGCAGTCAGTGCTCTTTCTTTTAAAGCTTAAGCAGAATGTCTCAAACTCTCCCTTTGAAGGTTTATGTAGTCAACTTTATTTTTTCTTCAATCTGGGTTATGAGTAGATTTGGTTTAAGTTGCAAAGTGGTTCTGGAGTTTGTATTTCAGTTGGAGGTGCAGATATCAGTCTTGAAGCATGACTCACTACGTTGGAGTTAAAATACAAATACAGCTATCTAATGCACTTCTGTTATGAGAAACTTAAACAATCACTTGGCTTAATTGTGCAAGTTGTTTGGCATATTTTCTGTGGATATAACCAATTCAGACTGACTGAGAAAACATTCTTTATTTAAGACAGCACTGCAATGGGCATCACTATCTGCTTTATAATGGTCTTAACTGTGTTCTCTGCTACCTTTTTAGTGTCCTGGAACAGCATAAGCTGAACAAAGAACAGTGGGAAGATCGGATCCAAATATGGCACGAGGAACATAGAGGAATGATCAGGTAATACCAGGAGGTGACAATGTAACCTTTATTGTGGAAAAGCTTTTGTAACTAGGAATAATTTCAATTAATATTTCTTGGTGTTATAGTTGGAGTGACCCCAAATTTAAGCTGGTGTTCTTTCCATGTTAGATTTGAATCTTCTCCAATTCCTTCAGTTTATTTTTGTCCAGGACGGAGATGCCAATTGTATGCGGTGACACCTGGGGTGTATTAACAGCATAAGCTTGGTCAATTCCATGCTATGTGGCTGCTTTTCAGTAACTGGTATAAATTTATAAGGCTGCTTGTTGACTTTTTGAGAATTTGTGAATGAGCCATTATACTGTGTTCTGTAGTGTGATGAAAGAGCCCTACAACTTCATGGGAAATGTCAGTCTCCATCTTCAAAATACATTCTGCATTTCACAAGTGGTGCCAATTGACTGTAGCCAATGGTTGTTTTTTTTTTGTGGGGGGGCAGTGCAAAAGAAGTTGTAGGTTCAAATCGCTTTTAGATTAGTTTTTAACTTTTTTTTTTGAAGCATTCCAAACTTTGTTTCATCTGTGCTGGATTTAAATCAGCTAAGATCCACCATCCTGTCTTAATTTCATCACAGGTATGTCAATCATGGTGGGAGAAATTAAGTGATTAAAACTTACAATGTAGTCCTTTGTTTTTGGAAAGGTTAATATTTAGGTTTTTCTAAGTGATATTAAATAGTAAAACTGAATTGAGGCCTGATTTATTTTTAGTATGCTGTGGTTTTGTCACCACCTTGTGGCTATTGTGTTCCAAGTACAATGATATATCCACTAATTTAAAATCTTGTATTATTTTCATTGATACAAATATTGTATGTACTTTATGGGTTTATACTATCTTTAAGCTCGAGTACAAGAGCCAATGGAAATGAGTACAATTATTATATATTTCTTATTTCACCAAAGTTTAAAATTTCTCAACACTTGGCTATAGTTAAACACATTTTAGTACCAGTTACTGCAAATAAGGCTCTTGTTTGTTTTTCAAGTTTTTTTTTGTGGGCTGTGTGCAAGGCATTTTGTGAAATTCTTGTTGCACAAATTGTATACCAATTCCTATAAACCCACCCCTACTTGACCAACAGAACTTTCACATTTAGGAAAGTGAGAAATGATCCAGTATATTTTTTTAAAGTCAGCTTTGATGTTTGCTGTTCTCTTCCCTGCCCCCCCAAAAAAAGTTGCACATTATAATTTATGTACAGTGTCCTTGTATTTGCAGTGTGAGCTCAATCCTTTGTCTCTTCTTCCTGCACTGTCTTCAACACCAGTCCAATGCCTTGGGGTATCTTTCCATCAGTATACATTTAATTCAGTATTGGCACCTACTTTCATTAACAGGGAGGATGCCATGATGGAATATCTGAAG